ACTTTAGTCTAATTTAAAATAATGGACATTCAATAAAATCTGGTGTGTCTAACGCTGTCATGATATAGAAGATTGAGCATTTATTCAGTCTGACTACATACAGCGCCTTCGGAAAGTATTCAGACCCCTTGACTTTTTCCACATTTTGTTACGTTACAGCCTTATTCTAAAATTGATATATTTTTTAAGAAATCCTCAGCAATCTACACACAATACCCCATAATGACAAAGCGAAAACAGGTTTGTAGAAATGTTTGCCAATGTATTAAAACTAAAAAAACAGAAATACCTTATTTACATAAGTATTCAAACACTTTGCTATGAGACGCGAAATTGAGCTCAGGTGCATCCTGTTTCCATTGATCATCCTTGAGATGTTTCTACAACTTGGAGTCCGCCTGTGGTAAATTCAATTGATTGGACATGATTTGGAAAGGCACACACCTGTCTATATAAGGTCCCACAGTTGACAGTGCATGTCAGAGTAAAAACCAAGCCATGAGGTCAAAGGAATTGTCCGTAGAGCTCCGAGACAGGATTGTGTCGAGGCACAGATCAGGGGAAGGGTACCAAAACATTTCTGCAGCATTGAAGGTCCCCAAGAACACAGTGGCTTCCATCATTCTTAAATGGAAGAAGTTTGGAACCACCAAGACTCTTCCTAGAGCTGGCCGCACGGCCAAACTGAGCAATCGGGGGAGAAGGGCCTAGGTCAGGGAGGTGACCAAGAACCCGATAGTCACTCTGACAGAGCTCCAGAGTTCCTCTGTGGAGATGGGAGAACCTTCCAGAAGGACAACCATCTCTGCAGCACTCCACCAATCAAGCCTTTATGGTAGAGTGGCCAGACGGAAGCCACTCCTCAGTAAAAGGACTCTCAGACTATGAGAAACAAGATTCTCTGGTCTGATGAAACCAAGATTGAAATCTTTGGCCTGAATGCCAAGTGTCACGTCTGGAGGAAACCTGCCACCATCCCTACGGTGGCAGCATCATGCTGTGGGGATGTTTTTCAGCGGTAGGGACTGGGAGACTAGTCAGGATCAAGGCAAAGTACAGAGAGATCCTTGATGAAAACCTGCTCCAGAGCGCTCAGGACCTCAGACTGGGGGCGAAGGTTCACCTTAACAACGGGACAACGACCCTAAGCACACAGCCAAGACAACGCAGGAGTGGCTTCGGGACAAGTCTCCGAATGTCCTTGAGTGGCCCAGCCAGAGCATGGACTTGAACCCAATCGAACATCTCTGGAGAGACCTGAAAATAGCTGTGCAGTGACGCATCCAACCTGACAGAGCTTGAGAGGGTATGCAGAGAAGAATGGGAGAAACTCCCCAAATACAGGTGTGCCAAGCTTGTAGCATCATACCCAAGAAGACTCGAGGCTGTAATCGCTGCCAAAGGTGCTTCAACAAAGAACTGAGTAAAAGGTCTGAATACCTATGTAAATGTGATATTTCCGTTTTTTTAGATGTGGGAAAAAAAACAATTGAATCCATTTTAGAATAAGGCTGTAACGTAACAAATGTGGGAAAAGTCAAAGGGTCTATAAACAATCGCTAATTGTTAATCAAGGATGGTCCCGCGCCCCCCCCCCATAAAACGTTGGCGCCCCCTAGGTTGGGAACCCCTACCATATTCCCTATATAGTTCACTACTTTTGACCAGAGTCTATAGATCTCTGGTCAAAAGTAGTGCACTATATAAGGAATAGGGTGCCATTTGGGGGACACACACTATCTGTTTTCGACTCGCTTCTAAAGGGTGTTCTTTGAACTGCATCCCAGCATCTTTTTCGCAGGCAGGCAGGGCAGGGCAGGCAGGCAAGGCAGGGCAGGCGGGCAGGCAGGGCAGGCAGGGCGGGCGGGCGGGCAGGCAGGCAGGCAGGTTGGTTCATCCTGTCCCTCTAGCATCTCGCTTTCTTCTTCTTCTCAAATGACATCATTCCCTATATAGGGCTCTGTTCAACAGTAGTACACTATGTAGTGAATAGGGTCCAATAAGTATTTGACCCCCTCTCAATCAGAAATATTTCTGGCTCCCAGGTGTCTTTTATACAGGTAACGAGCTGAGATTAATAGCACACTCTTAAAGGGAGTGCTCCGAATCTCAGCTTGTTACCTGTATAAAAGACACCTGTCCACAGAAGCAATCAATCAATCAGATTCCAAACTCTCCACCATGGCCAAGACCAAAGAGCTCTCCAAGGATGTCAGGGACAAGATTGTAGACCTACACAAGGCTGGAATGGGCTACAAGACCATCGCCAAGCAGCTTGGTGAGAAGGTGACAACAGTTGTTGCGATTATTCGCAAATGGAAGAAACTCCAAAAGAACTGTCAATCTCCCTCGGCCTGGGGCTCCATGCAAGATCTCACCTCGTGGAGTTGCAATGATCATGAGAACGGTGAGGAATCAGTCCAGAACTACACGGGAGGATTTTGTCAATGATCTCAAGGCAGCTGGGACCATATGAAGTTGGCATCAACTCAACTCGCCGTGTTTGGAGGAGGAGGAATGCTGCCTATGACCCCAAGAACACCATCCCCACCGTCAAACATGGAGGTGGAAACATTATGCTTTGGGGGTGTTTTTCTACTAAGGGGACAGGACAACTTCACCGCATCAAAGGGACGATGGACGGGGCCATGTACTGTCAAATCTTGGGTAAGAACCTCCTTCCCTCAGCCAGGGCATTGAAAATGGGTCGTGGATGGGTATTCCAGCATGACAATGACCCAAAAACACACGACCAAGGCAACAAAGGAGTGGCTCAAGAAGAAGTACATTAAGGTCCTGGAGTGGCCTAGCCAGTCTCCAGACCTTAATCCCATAGAAAATCTGTGGAGGGAGCTGAAGGTTTGAGTTGCCAAACGTCAGCCTCGAAACCTTAGTGACTTGGAGAAGATCTGCAAAGAGGAGTGGGACAAAATCCCTCCTGAGATGTGTGCAAACCTGGTGGCCAACTACAAGAAACGTCTGACCTCTGTGATTGCCAACAAGGGTTTTGCCACCAAGTACTAAGTCATGTTTTGCAGAGGGGTCAAATACTTATTTCCCTCATTAAAATGCAAATCAATTTATAACATTTTTGACATGCGTTTATCTGGATGTTTTTGTTGTTATTCTGTCTCTTACTGTTCAAATAAACCTACCATTAAAATTATAGACTGATCATGTCTTTGTCAGTGGGCAAACGTACAAAATCAGCAGGGGATCAAATACTTTTTTCCCTCACTGTAGGTTATGTTGTGGGTGAGGTGAACACGGGTCATGCTCCCTTTCTATCATTTGGCTCTTTGAACTGACGTTCAGTGTGTGCGTGTGTGCGTGTGTGCGTGTGTGTGTGTGTGTGTGTGTGCGCGAGGGAATAGATGAGACTATCCATACTACAGTGTAACATTTTCTGAGTGTTCAGAAAGGAGACTTCAAAGGGACATTGGTGGGAAGGGATTGTGATATGGTTTCATATACAAGGACACCATGTTTAAACTGGAAACATGGTTCATTATTGATAGAACTAACTATAGTATGTACAGTATTGTCACCTTGTCATATTAATTGACTACAGTACGCTTGCATGATTATTTTCGTCATTTGGTTTTCAATCATACATTGTGGAAAGATACTCTTAAAATAATTAAAATGTATTCAGTGCAAAGGGATCATTGCCAATGCAAAGCAGGAACAATCCCTCTCCAGCTAGCTTGCTCTGTCAAACAGTGTTGGCCGCTACCGAGTTCCCTACAAAGCGTTCAGTCACAATACCCTCCCTAATCTCATTGACTTTATCACTCCCCCTTGTATTGATACTACTGCTCTGTGTATTCAGACTTCTCTATGTATTAATTTATCACCAGTTATTCATATCAGTCATTGTGAGTCAGACAGATCTGGGAGTCCCAAATGGCACCCTATTCCCTACATAGTGCACTACTTCTGGTCTGGGCCCATAGGGTGCCATTTGGGACGCAGGAGGGTTCTTTATCTCTCTACTCCATTTTCTTTTATCTGGAGTACACGGGTTAGAGAAGGTCCTGAGGGAGAGAGAGAGACAACTGCTTCTGGTTTAACTCATCTCACTGGGTTGGCACTGAGGGATGTGTTTTGTGTGTGTGGGATCAGGCAAGAGAGGAGAGGAGAGAGGGAATATTTTATCTGACGTTGTCACTGGTCGTAAAAACCTCAGGGAAATGAGAGACGATGTGACACACTCGGTGGTCAGCACCAGTACAACCCAGACCTGGGTTCAAATACTATTTTAAATTATTTCAAATACTTTATCTGTGCTTAATTGAGCTTGCCTTGCCAATAGAATAGTCCCAAAACTGTCAACCTGCCTGCCCATCTGTCACTCAGGCAGACTAGAGCAATCGCTAAAATGCTATAATAATATTTGATCCTGCTAGAAAAAAACAGATGGTGAAGTCACTGCGGTGTTAACTATACATGTAGCCTTCAACGTCACAACTGAGTTCATTTAAACTTGTATTTTTAGAGGATTAGGACTGTCATTTAAAATGTTGTCACATTGACACAACATGGTTTAGAATAAAACACAACTAGTTTAGTTTATGTTCACATTGTCAGGCCAGGCAGTATAAACAACTTTTTAATTAAATGTACATTTTTCATCAGCAGCAGCATTCAATGTTGTCATATTGACAGAAAACAGAAGAGATGATTTATTTTCCATTATTTATTTTTGATTGCTATTTCTATTTTAGCTAATCAAACTCTTACTTGTTTTGTCTTTAGGTTGGTGTGTTGCCATGACGTTCATCAAGCCTCCTCCATTGGACCTCTGACTTTATCAGACAGGAATTTAATTATATCTATTTTACCCTGAACATTCCTCAAATTAAATGACTTCAGGAATGCTCAGAAGACCTGGATGAAAGCTCTGAAGACCTGGATGAAAGCTCTGAAGACCTGGATGAAAGCTCTGAAGACCTGGATGAAAGTGACTAGTGAAGCAGCCAAAGGGAGAAAGTTAAAAAATGAAAAGGCTATCATTTCACATCATTGCTGTCATCATCAGCTATTTTCTCAATGGCTGCGTAGTTGTTCACAGTCAGACAGTCTGCAACCGACCAGCCAATCTGGAATGGCACCTACAACCACAGACTGCTCAGGTGAAATGGACGCTCATGGGGAACATCTGCAATAGTACGGTCCAATGCTGGGGCGATCAAGACAGGACAGAGACCCAAAAGTCCGATGTTCGGCCAACTTCGAACTTACCTCAGATTTGTCCTCTAGAGGTGCAGTTTGGCGTCAAGCTATTTGTTTCCATTGATGCTACTGTGGATTTATACGGTATCAGGATCCTCAATGTGTCAAAGGAGGACTTTGAAAGTTGTTCCACTGCAACACAGTCACAAGACCAGTTTCTCCGTTCCCATGACATTATGACTGGGACTAGGCAGGTCGAGCCTAAATGGCTTCTCCCGGGCCTTCATTATTTCATAGCTTGGCATGAGGGGAATTCACAGCTCTGCAAGCTCGGTCTTCGTCTCAACGTCTCTGTGAAGGAACAACAGTGTCAAAGCAGCCCACTAGTGCGTCTCTGCTCCGGGAACGGTGTTTGTAGGACAAGCTTTTGGGAAGACGGAGCGTACCGCTGTCAGTGCCGCCAGCATTATTCTGGAAAGTTCTGTGAGAAGTTTGATGCGTGTTTGGAAAACCCATGTGAGAACGAAGGGGTCTGTGTGAGCAATGGGGGGACGACAGATCACATCCACACCACGTACAAGTGTTTGTGCCCTCCACATTTTACAGGTGAGGAATACAACTGAGAATTATGACTGATATTGGTACTGTCATGTTTTAAAGGGGAATTCTGCAGTTCAAACAACAACAAAGTCCCCACCCACCCCCCACTGTATATAGCCCCATCCCAGCTTTTTAAATGTAAAAGTCCAAAAATTGATGTATCAATCACAGATTACCCTTTTTAAGCTACTTTGTGAAAATGCTAAAGAAACTTACACACTTCTTGCAGTGGATTTATTTAACCTATGTTTTGGCCAAATAGCCTTTATCAGGGTTTGATACTTTACTTTACACCCTCCACCAAATTTGCGACGCTCAATGGATTGTTGTACCTTCAATTACTATAAATGGGAAAATAAATTGCTCTCGTTAATTAAATCTGCCGTGACAGAATCCACCTACCTACCTGGAGGCAAAGTCTGTGTCCCAAATGGCACCCTATTTCCCATGGGTTCTGGTCAAAAGTAGTGCACTATGTAGGGAATAGGGTGCCATTTGGGACAGACCATAATGTTACCACCCTATTGCTTGCAAATACTTCCATATTATTTATCTATCATAATTACTAGTTCTCATCTAGCTTAGTGCAATTATTTCAAGAATATCCAGAGTCCGTCCCAAAGGGCACCCTTTTCCCTTTATAGTGCACATAGGGCTCTGGTCAAAAGTAGTACGCTATGTAGGAAATAGGGTGCCATTTGGGACAGAACATAATGTTACCACCCTATTGCTTGCAAATACTTCCATATTATTTATCTATCATAATTACTAGTTCTCATCTAGCTTAGTGCAATTATTTCAAGAATATCCAGAGTCCGTCCCAAACGGCACCCTTTTCCCTTTAGAGTGCACATAGGGCTCTGGTCAAAAGTAGTGCACTTCATTGGGGAAAAGGGGGCTATTTGGGATGCTACCACAGATACCCCCATGGGCTATTTATGTGAACAACATTTTCTTCCAGGACTTTATTTTTCTTTTAATCATCATAATTATTTCTGGAATGGGTTTCTGTACCACCTTAATACATTCTTAATTGCTTGATTCTATACCGCTTTGCCTCCTCCTTCTTACCATTTCATTTAGATTTGATTCCTCCTCTCACCATGTCTTTGTCAATAAACGATGGCTTCCAAACGTTGTTTAAACATTGGCTCTGAAGACTTACGAGCCAACTTGTCATGTTTTTGTCATCACAAATCATCTGATTCATGCAATGAACACGGTTATCAGTAGAAATGCATTATGCAGTAACTAACTTCTCTGTGCAATGGGGCCACAATAAGGGAGAGTTTCTATGTAGACTTTCAAGCTGCAATGACGTCACTTAAGAAATATTAATTCATTAATTAATTTCCACAGTTAATTAGTGTTGATAATGGTTGATCCTATGTTACTTCAATTCAAATAAAAAACTATAGATCGAATCTATAGGAATAAAATACTATAGATCGAATCTATACGAAAGTAGAATCTAGCTAGATACTTGCCTAAACCATTTTGTTCATTTAAAAATTCTTTATAATTCATGCTTTATCTTTTCCCTCAGGGGCTAACTGCTCTGACGTGATTGGACGAGAGAACTGCGATCGAGTTTGCCGTAATGGCACATGTCACCAAGTTTCACCTTCCTCCTTCAAATGTGTGTGTGACACAGGACACCCAGGTAAGGAACCATGGTTATATTCTGTTCTACCCAGGCCTGGATTCAAACCAACAGAAATGAACAGTCTGCGCTCTGCTATTAATCTGCATTGGTTAGAATCCCTGCTAAAGTGATTTAGAATGAATCACCAACATGCAGTACAGGGGGTAGCCTGCATCTGCTAAGGGCAACAATGACATGTAGTCTTGTTTAGAACACTCTGAATGCGTCCCAAATGTCACCTTATTCCTTATATAGTGCACTGCTTTTTACCAGAGCCCTATGGGATCCCCTATGGGCCCTGGTCAAAAGTAGTGCACTACATAGGGAATAGGGTGCCATTTGTTCATGCCACCCCGCTGCTACCACACCCTTTAGGTAGATCGTGAGCCTCATAATGAGCCTCATTTTCTCCAGTAACATTACAGTTAGGTTAATGGGTGTCTCTCACAAATGGATTACAAACAGTTGTACCTACCAACGCTTCCTAGTTCTTGCCCTGGATAATGGTGTCTACGTCTGCGTCCCAAATGGCACCCTGTTCCCTTTATAGTGCACTACTTTTGACAAGTGGTGGCCTGAATAGGGAATAGGGTGCCATTTGTGACGCAACCTAGCTAAAGCAGGGGCCTTATGATGGACTTTCTGCTGTAACGAACTCCAGGTGGCTTTCTAACTTGATTCATTGTTTTGTTTTCGGGTGCAATTTGTCCAGGCAACACTCGTGAAATATCATACTTGTATACCTTCCCTCTGAGTCTGAGCTCTGCTGGGCTACAGACCTCGCTGCAGAGGCTTTCAGGCTCATTATTTGGTTGCTTGTATTCTCAAGGTTACACATTGTATTTATTTATATGGCTACCTCACTAAGCCAGTTATAGAAACATACTGTGGTTTTGATTTGTTGAAAGAACAGCTCAGAGAAATACAGCAGTGGATAACTCTTCTGAATGTCATAGGGGAGAGCGGTGAGAAACAGCACCAGACAGTGAGATGTCTTTCATTTCTGCAGAGTTCTGCAGTAATTGTGTCCCTGGTTGGAACATTATGCAGAGATCTACAGTGTTATAGAAGTCAGTCAAACCTGTAGTTTGAGACTGATCTATGGAAGTAAAACTGATGGCGTAGTCCAGATGCCATGGGATGGTTGGAACATTATGCAGAGATCTACAGTGTTCTAGAAGTCAGTCAGACTGATCTGATGGCGTAGTCCAGATGCCATGGGATGGTTGGAACATTATGCAGAGATCTACAGTGTTCTAGAAGTCAGGCAGACTGATCTGATGGCGTAGTCCAGATGCCATGGGATGGTTGGAACATTATGCAGAGATCTACAGTGTTCTAGAAGTCAGTCAGACTGATCTGATGGCGTAGTCCAGATGCCATGGGATGGTTGGAACATTATGCAGAGATCTACAGTGTTCTAGAAGTCAGTCAGACTGATCTGATGGCGTAGTCCAGATGCCATGGGATGGTTGGAACATTATGCAGAGATCTACAGTGTTCTAGAAGTCAGGCAGACTGATCTGATGGCGTAGTCCAGATGCCATGGGATGGTTGGAACATTATGCAGAGATCTACAGTGTTCTAGAAGTCAGTCAGACTGATCTGATGGCGTAGTCCAGATGCCATGGGATGGTTGGAACATTATGCAGAGATCTACAGTGTTCTAGAAGTCAGTCAGACTGATCTGATGGCGTAGTCCAGATGCCATGGGATGGTTGGAACATTATGCAGAGATCTACAGTGTTCTAGAAGTCAGTCAGACTGATCTGATGGCGTAGTCCAGATGCCATGGGATGGTTGGAACATTATGCAGAGATCTACAGTGTTCTAGAAGTCAGTCAGACTGATCTGATGGCGTAGTCCAGATGCCATGGGATGGTTGGAACATTATGCAGAGATCTACAGTGTTCTAGAAGTCAGTCAGACTGATCTGATGGCGTAGTCCAGATGCCATGGGATGGTTGGAACATTATGCAGAGATCTACAGTGTTCTAGAAGTCAGTCAGACTGATCTGATGGCGTAGTCCAGATGCCATGGGATGGTTGGAACATTATGCAGAGATCTACAGTGTTCTAGAAGTCAGTCAGACTGATCTGATGGCGTAGTCCAGATGCCATGGGATGGTTGGAACATTATGCAGAGATCTACAGTGTTCTAGAAGTCAGTCAGACTGATCTGATGGCGTAGTCCAGATGCCATGGGATGGTTGGAACATTATGCAGAGATCTACAGTGTTCTAGAAGTCAGTCAGACTGATCTGATGGCGTAGTCCAGATGCCATGGGATGGTTGGAACATTATGCAGAGATCTACAGTGTTCTAGAAGTCAGTCAGACTGATCTGATGGCGTAGTCCAGATGCCATGGGATGGTTGGAACATTATGCAGAGATCTACAGTGTTCTAGAAGTCAGTCAGACTGATCTGATGGCGTAGTCCAGATGCCATGGGATGGTTGGAACATTATGCAGAGATCTACAGTGTTCTAGAAGTCAGTCAGACTGATATGATGGCGTAGTCCAGATGCCATGGGATGGGGATGGTCTCCCTCTAGTCATGAAGTTACTCCGTAGTGGGCTCCTCAAGCCCAGGCTTGGATTACTACTGGACTCTGGCCTGTAGACCACTTAGTACATTTACATTTACATTTTAGTCATTTAGCAGACGCTCTTATCCAGAGCGACTTACAGGAGCAATTAGGGTTAAGTGCCTTGCTCAAGGGCACATTAACGTCATTTAGCAGACGCTCTTAGCCAGAGCGACTCACAAATTGGTGCGTTCACCCTATAGCCAGTGGGATAACCACTTTACAATTGGGGAAGGTGTGCTGTCTTCATTTGACCAGTGTCTCACAGCAGGAAAATAATCCTGCAGCAACAGAACATGTGAATTATTATGTGGATTATAATTAATGGACATTTTTGTAGGGGTTGATCCATAGTTCGTTAGGGCAAATCAAGTCGGACTTTTTAAAAGTCGAAATTGCAAACTTTAGAAGGCTTTTTAAACCTGGAATAACTACAAGTTTGCATTTCCTGCTGAGCAGGAACATTATCTGCGACAACAGAGTGATCAAATGAAGATAGTACACCTAAATGAAGCGATGCATTGATACTACTTAGAATGCCCCATACAGTGTGTAGATTATTAATATGCTAGTACATCCGTTGGAGTCACTGTTCAGGAACATTCAGTGATGTAGTTCACCCACTCGTTTGGCTCAACAGTTTCCCCACCTTTTTGCGTAAAAATGCATTGAAAGTATAGGAAGCGTTACTTTTTCCACAGGGAACGACGATCAGAGTTTACCCACCAATTTTTTATTAACACTTCATCACTGGTTATATTGTAGTGACCACTTCTAACAGGCTTTAGGAGCTTACTCACCCCTCAACTAACTAACTAACTGTGGAGATCCTGGTTCCTCATTTCTTCATGTGATGGGCTTCATTCTGCTTAAATGTCTTTATTCAACCAGAATGAACACCACTGATTAAGGGATGGATCAATGTCCATACTAGCGCACTACTTAGAGGTGTGGATAGTGGAACAGTCTAATACTGTCTCTATCTACCTGGAACACTGTCTAATACTGTCTCTATCTACCTGGAACACTGTCTAATACTGTCTCTATCTACCTGGAACACTGTCTAATACTGTCTCTATCTACCTGGAACACTGTCTAATACTGTCTCCATCTCATCTACCTGGAACACTGTCTAATACTGTCTCTATCTACCTGGAACACCTTCTAATACTATATCCATCTCATCTACCTGGAACACAGTCTAATACTGTCTATCTGCCTGGAACACAGTCTAATACTGTCTCGAGCTCATCTACCTGGAACACAGTCTAATACTGTCTCTATCTCATCTACCTGGAACACAGTCTAATACTGTCTATCTGCCTGGAACACAGTCTAATACTGTCTCGATCACATCTACCTGGAACACAGTCTAATACTGTCTCGATCACATCTACCTGGAACACAGTCTAATACTGTCTCGATCTCATCTACCTGGAACACAGTCTAATACTGTCTCGATCACATCTACCTGGAACACAGTCTAATACTGTCTCGATCTCATCTACCTGGAACACAGTCTAATACTGTCTCGATCTCATCTACCTGGAACACAGTCTAATACTGTCTCTCTCATCTACCTGGAACACAGTTTATTACTGTCTATGTTATCTATCTGGAACACCGTCTAATACTGTCTCTATCTACCTGGAACACAGTCTAATACTGTCTCTATCTACCTGGAACACAGTTTATTACTGTCTCTATCTCATTCACAAAGTAAGAAAGTAATGCACTATGTAGGGAATGGGTTGCCATTTGGGATGCTGCCCACGGCTGTTCCCTCATTAATCAGCTGGAATCACCTGTCTCCCCTACTGCAGAACAGAGCCGGACTGCCCTCGCAGGCCACAGCCTATACTCACAGAATAATCAGGCACAAACTCACGGGACATTTCAAATGAGATTTCCCTTTTGATTCTCCGGCTCTCCTGCAGAGTTCCTCTATGGTATTTATCACCAGGTATTACCGCCTTTACAGGGCAACATCCCATCTGGGATCATACGGCTTGTTTTCACAATTCACTTAACCACTTGTTTCAGTGGGTAGATTCAACTATGAGTGAGTGATTTGGTTGGGGACCGCGTTGTTAGGTATGTGGTATACAATTGAAGTCGGAAGTTTACATACCTTAGACCAAATACATTTAAACTCTGTTTTTCACAATTCCTGACATTTAATCCTAGTAAAAATTCCCTGTCTTAGGTCAGTTAGGATCACCACTTTATTTTAAGAATGTGAAATGTCAGAATAATAGTAGAGAGAATGATTTATTTCAGCTTTTATTTCTTTCATCACATTCCCAGTGGGTCAGAAGTTTACATACACTCAATTAGTATTTGGTAGCATTGACTTTAAATTGTTTAACTTGGGTCAAACGTTTCGGGTAGCCTTCCACAAGCTTCCCACAATAAGTTGGGTGAATATTGGCCCATTCCTCCTGACAGAGCTGGTGTAACTGAGTCAGGTGTGTAGGCCTCCTTACTCGCACACACTTTTTCAGTTCTGCCCACAAATGTTCTATAGGATTGAGGTCAGGGCTTTGTGATGGCCACTCCAATACCTTGACTTTGTTGTCCTTAAGGCATTTTGCCACAACTTTGGAAGTATGCTTGGGGTCATTGTCAATTTGGAAGACCCATTTGCGACCAAGCTTTAACTTCCTGACTGATGTCTTGAGATGTTGCTTCAATATATCCACATACTTTTCCTTCCTCATGATGCCATCTATTTTGTGAAGTGCACCAGTCCCTCCTGCAGCAAAGCACCCCCACAGCATGATGCTGCCACCCCCGTGCGTCACGGTTGGGATGGTGTTCTTCGGCTTGCAAGCCTCAACCCTTTTTTCCTCCAAACATAACGGTGGTCATTATGGCCAAAGAGTTCTATTTTTGTTCAATCAGACCAGAGGACATTTCTCAAAAAAGTTAGATCTTTGTCCCCATGTGCAGTTGCAAACCGTAGTCTGGCTTTGTTATGGCGGTTTTGGAGCAGTGGCTTCTTCCTTGCTGAGCGGCCTTTCAGGTTATGTCGATATAGGACTCGTTTTACTGTGGATATAGAAACTTTTGTACCTGTTTCCTCCAGCATCTTCACAAGGTCCTTTGCTGTTGTTCTGGGATTGATTTGCACTTTTCGCACCAAAGTACGTTAATCTCTAGGAGACAGAACGCGTCTTCTTCCTGAGCGGTATAACGGCTGCGTGGTCCCATGGTGTTTATACTTGCGTACTATTGTTTGTACAGATGAACATGGTACCTTCAGTCATTTAGAAATTGCTCCCAAGGATGAACCAGACTTGTGGAGGTCTACCATTTTTTTCCTGAGGTCTTGGCTGATTTCTTTTGATTTTCCCATGATGTCAAGCAGAGAGGCACTGAGTTTGAAGGTAGGCCTTGAAATACATTCACAGGTACACCTCCAAATGATGTAAATTAGCCTATCAGAAGCTTCTAAAGCCATGACATCATTTTCTGGAATTTTCCAAGCTGTTTAAAGGCACAGTCAACTTAGTGTATGTAAACTTCTGACCCACTGGAATTGTGATACAGTGAATTATAAGTGAAATAATCTGTCTGTAAACAATTGTTGGAAAAATTACTTGTGTCATGCACAAATTAGATGTCCTACCCGACTTGCCCAAACTATAGCTTGTTAACAAGAAATGTGTGGAGTGGTTGAAAAACGAGTTTTAATGACTCCAACCTAAGTGTATGTAAACTTCCCACTTCAACTGTATCTGAGTCCTGTTAGATAAATGAAGACTGTACTGTACATAGTCTACATTACAAGAGATTGAGTTAGTTAGCATTATTCAATATTCATTATTATCCTCTTACATAATGCATTGTTTTAATGTATTCTGTGGATTGTATTATTATTATTATTATTATTATGTATTATTATTCCATGACAGACTGACCAGGTGAAAGCTATGATCCCTTATTGATGTCACTTGTCAAATGCAATTCAATCAGTGTAGATGAAGGGGAGGAGACAGATTAAAGAAGGATTTTTAAGCCTTGAGACAATTGCTTCACAGCCAATGTTCCCTCTAAGCTGGTCGTGTGCAGTAGCCCCGAGACTGCCGCGCTGAAGAAATATCAGCCTACAGAGAGAAGCACGAGATTCAACTTCAGTCAACTTTCTAGAGCAGTGGTCACCAACTGGTTGATCGCGATCTACTGGTCGACCTCCAAGGCATTCCTAGTCGATGGCCAAACATTTCTGTAAAAAACCCAACAATAAAGCCTTGTGTTCCTATTTTTTTAAATGTGTCTCGGGCTGTTGGCGGTAGGTGCAGCCGATGCAGCTGCCCTGCGCGTCAGGTAGGAGAACTATTGCCATTTTGAACCATTTCATGTGTCTGATGGTACAAACTCTGCCTTCCCCTGTGGGCCCAGAGAGCAAATCAAGTGCACTATAGCCCTACCAATGGCCAGTCGGATGGCTCAGATAATCGTGTCTGCAATAACGTAGCAGGTATAAAAGAAAGCTACAGCTAAGTTGATACTGTGAGATTTCCAAACGTTTGAAACCATGACTATGAGTGAGTTCATGTTTTAAGTTCTTACTCAGCACTGTCAACACTTTTGTATTCATCACTTTTTTAAGCCATAAAATGCACATTCTTACATTTCCACTCAGAACTACAACAAGCAGTGCAGCAGTAATGAATGAGTGGGAAAGTGTATCTATAGGCTTGCGTTGTTGTTATATTAGCGGCTTGGGTCCTTTTTTAATATCGAGGAAGATTTAACTTTCTCTGTTCATAGGAGTGGGAACATGAATTTGTGCACGAGGCAGAAATAATGCAGTGCGACTCGAGTTTCGCCATCAGCTGGAAGACGGTGTCCCTTGTCAGTGTCAGTGGAGGAAAGGGAGAGCGGAGGGATGTTGAGAGGGTGTAGGGATGTTGAGAGGCAGTGGAGGAAAGGGAGAGTGTAGGGATGTTGAGAGTCAGTGGAGGAAAGGGAGAGCGGAGGGATGTTGAGAGGCAGTGGAGGAAAGGGAGAGTGGAGGGATGTTGAGAGGCAGTGGAGGAAAGGGAGAGTGTAGGGATGTTGAGAGTCAGTGGAGGAAAGGGAGAGTGTAGGGATGTTGAGAGGCAGTGGAGGAAAGGGAGAGCGGAGGGATGTTGAGAGGCAGTGGAGGAAAGGGAGAGTGTAGGGATGTTGAGAGTCAGTGGAGGAAAGGGAGAGCGGAGGGATGTTGAGAGGCAGTGGAGGAAAGGGAGAGTGTAGGGATGTTGAGAGTCAGTGGAGGAAAGGGAGAGTGTAGGGATGTTGAGAGTCAGTGGAGGAAAGGGAGAGTGTAGGGATGTTGAGAGTCAGTGGAGGAAAGGGAGAGCGGAGGGATGTTGAGAGGCGGACCCTCAGTCTGCTGCTCTCTCCCTCCGCGGAGACTGACCATCAGCCGCACCATCAGCCCAGTAAAATAAAAAGCTCATTATTATTTTGAAATATATATATATATATATATATAATTTTTTTATGGCCTGAACAACAATGCATTGGCAGGGCAATTCAAGCAAAGTCAATATGCCAGTGATAATGTATTGGGCCTATAGCCTACTGCACAAACCTCATTACTACAGTACTGTTTGTAATTGGTTAATGTTGCAAAGCCTTACTTTTTTAAGCCATTTAAAAAATATAAATATTCTGAGCGGTAGATCTCGGCTTGCGTTTTGACTCAGGAAGTGATCTTGACTCAGAAAAGTTTGGTGACCACTGTTCTCTCTGTTAACACTATCAACCTTTCTCTTTACTGTGGCAATTGTGATCGAATCAACGCGATATTAGCCACTTTCAATGCAACATACCGAAACTAAATTAACTATGCAAGAGATTTTGTTGTAGGCAGAACACATCGGAGTAGTTTTCTATTGCATCGACAGGCATGACTCAGCGTTCTCTACACAGACCGGTGTGGCCTAACCAATCAGATCTGCAGTATGCAAAACAGACCATTGCAATATATGGTGCTATGCCATTTGCTTTGAACTGGACTGTGTTTAGAGCATTAGCGGTCGTGAGTAGATGTGCTTGTTTTGAGATCAAAGCGAGAGCTGCGTGTAGCCACGTGTGCACATTTTGTTAATATCCTTTGCTAATTAGTGAGTTTTTAGCCCAGTTATAGATAATTTGTAGTCAGGAATAGGGGAGTGATTGCTTTCTGCAAGAGCACCAAACGTGTACATTTTTAGACATTTCTAGCCAGTCAGGTAAAGAGCAATTTTAAAGGGGCAGTGTTGTATTTTGAGAACGGCTTGAATAAGCTAAGTAGCCAATGGGCAGAGGGTAGCATCATTTGTCTGATTCTCTGTAGTAATGTTATGGGAATAATAATGCATTTTATTTTGTAAAGTGGTTTCTTGCATCATACAACACAACAACATTACCAGTCACCTTGTCTGAAGGACATGTGGATAAGCAGGTTAATGTCAAGCCCTGCATGTTTTTTTTACAAAAGTTCCATGGAATGTAGGCCTACATTGAACACCACACATTGGCTGCTACTGTAGGCTGAATGATAGAACAGCTATTAAAAAGGTTAAAATGTAATGGGATGCATTTTTCTCCATTGTTTTTGATAGTAGGCCACTCTGGTAGGCCTACATTATGATCAAATATCCACAGTAGCCTACTTGGCCACTGTTAAAACTGTAACCTAAAATGGCTACACCCTCTGTGTTCACAGTCAACGCGCTGGAAAGTTGCACTGAATTTTCACAACGTTCAAGTTTGCGCTTAGCAGACCTGAAATTTGCTCAGTGCCCCCCCAAAATGGAGGGAACATTGTTCACAGGGCTTACCCAAAATCTGAGGTGAAAATGTACATGGTGATGATCAACAATACCCAACAGCATTTTCCATAAGTAACCTTAAACTGTTTCCAGAATATTCCCCAAATTCAAGTATTGAATCTGTTGGGATAGGTATAAAACCATCTTTAAGGGACACATTAAATAATAGTTAAATCGAGTACAGGCGTAACTGAATGACAACAGAGATTAAATGCAATGTGGGATTTTATTGAATAGTTTGGGGTAGGCCTCGTCTCTGAGGAATGCTCCTCAGAGCCAGATGCTGATGACCGGTTGCCCTATGCTGGGCAGCTGGCATCGAAACCCCCCCCCCCCAGCTGGGAGAATGGGCTTCTGATGACGGGTGGTGGTGGAGAGGTGGAAGGTCGTTGGAAGACTGTTGCCGCAAAACAGCAAGCAAGAGACGAGGGTTGAGTTGACAAACTCCCCTAGATTCATGCCCATTGGTTGAATGAAAGGAAAGTGATTATTGCACCAGTGGTTAACCGTAGGTTATTCAGCAAGCGTGGTGGAATTGCCTTAGTGCGCCATGCTCATAGGCGGAAGTTAATAGGGGAAGACATTCTGCATGCTTGCTAATAGTAAAGGAGCAGGGGAGACGTGACACTATGCTGATGAGGTGACATTATAAACACTATCCTATAGATCCCTGCTATGCCTGTGAGATAGGAAGCGATGTGAATTATATTGTGCTAACTAGATAAATGTGAAAGTGACGAGCCATTCAGACCAGCCTTACTGATTTTGAACTTTCGTAAAACTACATTATTCCCAAAGACTCATGTTTCAGGCTTTGGTAGGCAACCCGCTATGCAAACTCAATTTCCAATGGCTAGTTCAAGCCTAAACAAGCCCAGAAGCTGTATGTATATACATACAGTAAGATTGATGTCCACTGATACCTGCACAGAGGCTATGGCTGAGTCCCAAATGGCACCCTATTCCCTATGCAGTGCACTACTTTTGACCAAGGCCCATAGGTAATGCACTATATATGGAATAGGGTGCCATTTGGGACCCATCCTATGGGAAGCCTCTGGGAACAAGAGCACTAGAATACGCGGGGGAATTAGCATAGAAGAATATGCTACAAGAAGAGTCACGGAGAAAGATAAATGAGTGGGCGCCTGCTGAAGAACACAAAAATGAAAAGCCTACGCCAGGGAATACAATCAAATTGTATTCACCTTGAACCAGCGGTGTGTTCAGTCTAATTTTATCCCACGTGGAGAAGCCAATGTCACCACCGTGGCATTTGACATTAGAGGTGTATTACAGTATGTAATGTATGTCTCCAAGCCACGATGCTCTTGTCCAAAACTTCTTGTCCAAAACTTCTTGCTCTGATCTGAGCTTCTGTTGTCAGCTCCTTAAAGCCATCTATTCTCCTTTATTCAATTAACTTTATTGATGTTTTGCATAATTTATAATATGATTTACAGAGGGGGGGGGGGGGATAAATCAAAACGAATCATAGGGATTCAATGTAGTTATGATTCTTCATAAGGGTGAAACATGGCTAACACATCATTATAGTGACACTTAGTATAAGTAATATGTCACCCTACGCTGAACTAAAATATAAACGCAACATGTAAAGTGTTGGTCCCATGTTTCATGAGCTGAAATAAAAAATCCCAGAAATCTTACATACACACAAAAAGCTTATTTCTCTAAAATGTTGTGCACAAATTTGTTTACATCCCTGTTAGTGAGCATTTCTCCATTGCCAAGATAATCCATCCACCTGACAGGTGTGGCATATCAAGAAGCTGATTAAACAGCATGATCATAGCACAGGTCAATAAAACGTCAATCTAAAATGTGCCGTTTTTTCACACAACACAATGCCACAGATATCTCAAGTTTTGAGGGGGCGAGCAATTGGCATGCTAACTGCAGGAATGTCCACGAGCTGTTGCCAGAGAATTGAATGTTGATTTCTATACGATAATACATGTCCAACGTTGTTTTAGAGAATTTGGCTGTAAGTCCAATCGGCCTCACAACCACAGACCACATGTAACCACGCCAGCCCATGACCTCCACATCTGGCTTCTTCACCTGCGGGATCGTCTGAGACCAGCCACCCAGACAGCTGATGAAACGGTGGGCCCATTGTCGCAAGGATCTGTACACAATTCCTGGAAGCTGAAAATGGCCCAGTTCTTCCATGGCCTGCATATTCACCAGACATGTCACACATGTTTGGGATGCTCTGAATTAGCGATGTGACAAATGGAAAATGTTGCTTAATGTTTAAACTGCCGTTTTTCTTTTTATCGGTTTTCCGTGTCAGTTTACAATGCAGAATAATGGTCATATTACGTATGTATGACCGCTAGGGCTGGGTAATGAAGTTATATCTACTGCAACCCTTTACAGACATAGAACGGAGCTACAGTAACATGTCCATAGCGACAATAACTTTTCAGACAATAAAAAAAAAAGTGCTGCATCAGGTTTTTACATGTTCGGTGTTGTTTCCGTGACAACAATAAAGGTGGCTGGTTGATGAGCTGCTGTGGTGGTGTTTATGCTGTTTTTATGGTAGGGTAGCTAGATGTGCTTTCTTTCTGCTAAATGTCTACCCTAACAGACAGACAAACATGCAGTAGCCGAGGCGCTTTCAAAGGGGCACATTCCATTATGTCTGAAAAGCATAATAGATACAAGCTACCAGTAGCCTGCTGTAATTCCATATGAGGCAAAAATGAAGAGTAGACTACCCTCTGCTCGCAAGACTGGCTCGAAGACATTGGTGCCATGAATAGGGTAGAATATTCTACAGGCAACAGACCGATGACAGGCCAGTGTGAGGGAGAGAGAGACGGAGCAGGCAGGCCAGTGTGAGGGAGAGAGAGACGGGGCAGGCAGGCCAGTGTGAGGGAGAGAGAGATGGAGCGGGCAGGCCAGTGTGAGGGAGAGAGAGACAGGGCAGGCAGGCCAGTGTGAGGGAGAGAGAGATGGAGCGGGCAGGCCAGTGTGAGGGAGAGAGAGACAGGGCAGGCAGGCCAGTGTGAGGGAGAGAGAGATGGAGCGGGCAGGCCAGTGTGAGGGAGAGAGAGATGGAGCAGGCAGGCCAGTGTGAGGGAGAGAGAACAGGGCAGGCAGGCCAGTGTGAGGGAGAGAGAGATGGAGCGGGCAGGCCAGTGTGAGGGAGAGAGAGATGGAGCAGGCAGGCCAGTGTGAGGGAGAGAGAGACAGGGCAGGCAGGCCAGTGTGAGGGAGAGAGAGATGGAGCGGGCAGGCCAGTGTGAGGGAGAGAGAGATGGAGCGTGCAGGCCAGTGTGAGGGAGAGCGAGACGGAGCAGGCAGGCCAGTGTGAGGGAGAGAGAGACGGAGCAGGCAGGCCAGTGTGAGGGAGAGAGAGACGGAGCAGGCAGGCCAGTGTGAGGAGAGAGAGAGGGCAGGCAGGCCAGTGTGAGGAGAGAGAGGGCAGGCAGGCCGTGGAGGGAGAAGAGAGGGGCAGGCAGGCCAGTGTGAGGAAGAGAGAGAGGGGCAGGCAGGCCAGTGTGAGGGAGAGAGAGATGGAGCGGGCAGGCCAGTGTGAGGGAGAGAGAGCAGGAGCAGGGCAGAGGCCAGGCTGTGAGAGGAGAGAGAGATGGAGCGGCAGGCCAGTGGTGAGGGAGAGAGAGAGGGGCGGGCAGGCCAGTGTGAGGGAGAGAGAGTCGGAGCAGGCAGGCCAGTGTGAGGGAGAGAGGATGAGGCGGGCAGGCCAGTGTGAGGGAGAGAGAGATGAGAGGCAGGCAGGCCAGTGTGAGGGAGAGAGAGATGGAGCGGGCAGGCCAGTGTGAGGGAGAGAGAGACGGAGCAGGCAGGCCAGTGTGAGGGAGAGAGAGACGGAGCAGGCAGGCCAGTGTGAGGAAGAGAGAGAGGGGCAGGCAGGCCAGTGTGAGGGAGAGAGAGACGGAGCAGGCAGGCAGTGAGGGGAAGAGGCGGCAGGCCAGTAGAGAGAGGAGAGAGCAGAAAGAGCAGGCGCTGGAAGAGAGGCAGCAGCAGGGAGAGAGAGGGGCAGGCAGGCCAGGAGAGAGAGGGGCAGGCAGGCCAGTGTGAGAGAGGGGCAGGCAGGCCAGTGTGAGAGAGGGGCATGCCTCGCAAATTGTCTTGTCTTGTATGCCTCACAAATTCACAAATAGCCTAAAGTTCTATTTTCCCCAGGCCTTTATAGCCTGTCGGCTATAACACAGAAAATTAATGTTTTGTGATCACTGAACTGTGATTTTAATTAATTTTGATTTAATTTCAACTTCTATTTAACTAGGCAAGTTAATTAAGAACAAATACTTATTTACAATGACGGCGTACTTAAGTGGGAAAGGGTTTTTTAATGTTAAGGATCCCAACTTCATTTAAACGTTTAAATGTTCACACCCCTGCTCTGGATCGACGTGTACGACAGCGTGTTCCAGTTCCTGCCAATATCCAGCAACTTTGCACAGCCATTGAAGAGGAGTGGCACAACATTCCACAGGCCACAGTCAACAGCCTGATCAACTCTATGCGAAGGGGATGTGTCGCGCTGCATGAGACAAGTGGTTGTCACACAGATAGTGACTGGTTTTCTGATCCACAACCCCTACTTTTTTTTCTGTGTGACCAACAGATGCATATCTGTAAAACGCAACATGCAAGAATTTCAAAGATTTTACTGAGTTACAGTTCATATAAGGAAATCAGTCAATTTAAATAAAATCATTATGTCCTAATCTATGGACCTAATGAATTTATTTAAATTGACTGATTTTCTTACATGAACTGTAACTCAGTAAAATCTTTGAAATTGTTGCATGTTGCGTTTTATATTTTTGTTCAGTGTAATATGTTAGGTCAACTGACATACAGTGGGGAGAAAAAGTATTTGATACACTGACGATTTTGCAAGTTTTCCTACTTACAAAGCATGTAGAGGTCTGTAATTTTTATCATAGGTACACTTCAACTGTGAGAGACAGCATCTAAAACAAAAATGCAGAAAATCACATTGTATGAGTTTTAAGTAATTAATTTGCATTTTATTGCATGACATAAGTATTTGATACATCAGAAAAGGAGAACTTAATATTTGGTACAGAAACCTTTGTTTGCAATTACAGAGATCATACGTTTCCTGTAGGTCTTGACCAGGTTTGCACACACTGCAGCAGGGATTTTGGCCCACTCCTCCATACAGACCTTCTCCAGATCCTTCAGGTTTCGGGGCTGTCGCTGGGCAATACGGACTTTCAGCTCCCTCCAAAGATGTTCTATTGGGTTCAGGTCTGGAGACTGGCTAGGCCACTCCAGGACCTTGAGATGCTTCTTACGGAGCCACTCCTTAGTTGCCCTGGCTGTGTGTTTTGGGTCGTTGTCATGCTGGAAGACCCAGCCACGACTCATCTTCAATGCTCTTACTGAGGGAAGGAGGTTGTTGGCCAAGATCTTGCGATACATGGCCCCATCCATCCTCCCCTCAATACGGTGCAGTCATCCTGTCCCCTTTGCAGAAAAGCATCCCCAAAGAATGATGTTTCCACCTCCATGCTTCACGGTTGGGATGGTGTTCTTGGTGTTGTACTCATCCTTCTTCTTCCTCCAAACAAGGCGAGTGGAGTTTAGACCAAAAAGCTCTATTTTTGTCTCATCAGACCACATGACCTTCTCCCATTCCTCCTCTGGATCATCCAGATGGTCATTGGCAAACTTCAGACGGGCCTGGACATGCGCTGGCTTGAGCAGCGGGACCTTGCATGCACTGCAGGATTTTAATCCATGACGGCGTAGTGTGTTACTAATGGTTTTCTTTAAGACTGTGGTCCCAGCTCTCTTCAAGTCATTGACCAGGTCCTGCCGTGTAGTTCTGGGCTGATCCCTCACCTTCCTCATGATCATTGATGCCCCACGAGGTGAGATCTTGCATGGAGCCCCAGACCGAGGGTGATTGACCGTCATCTTGAACTTCTTCAATTTTCTAATAATTGTGCCAACAGTTGTTGCCTTCTCACCAAGCTGCTTGCCTATTGTCTTGTAGCCCATCCCAGCCTTGTGCAGGTCCACAATTGTATCCCTGATGTCCTTACACAGCTCTCTGGTCTTGGCCATTGTGGAGAGGTTGGAGTCTGTTTGATTGAGTGTGTGGACAGGTGTCTTTTATACAGGTAACGAGTTCAAACAGGTGCAGTTAATACAGGTAATGAGTGGAGAACAGGAGGGCTTCTTAAAGAAAAACTAACAGGACTGTGAGAGCCGGAATTCTTACTGGTTGGTAGGTGACCAAATACTTATGTCATGCAATAAAATGGCAAGGAATTACTTAAAAATCATACAATGTGATTTTCTGGATTTTTGATTTTTTAGATTCCGTCTCTCACAGTTGAAGTGTACCTAGTATAAAAATTACAGACCTCTACATGCTTTGTAAGTAGGAAAACCTGCAAAATCGGCAGTGAATCAAATACTTGTTCTCCCCAACTGTATGTTTTTATTCATTAGGATCCCCATTAGCCGACGCCAATGGGGACAGCTAGTCTTACTGGGGTCCAACACATAACGAAAAATACATTACAGACAAAATACTTTACAACTAACATGCATTTAAAAACATGAACATGTAGTGTGTGTGTGTGCATCTATCAGTTACACATACATGTCAGTAGATACACACAACAAGTAGGTCACAATGATTAAATGTCACCATTTTGAACTGAAACGAGACCATGTTGAAATGACACCCCTCCTACTAGGCAGATTCTTGTTGTTCCAGTCAATTCTGGACCTTTCTTATTTCTTACTCTAGACATTTTGACAGTTTGAGCAATCGTACTTCCTCTTCCAGTTAAAAAGATGATGGTATGTGGACTACAGAAAGTCATAGAAACAGTGTGATCCCTATCAAATTGATCATATCGTCGGTCTCATGACAGGAAACATCAACAGAGATATCAAGAGCTGTACAATGGACAAACAGTGTTTTACAGAATCCTTATGACAATTAATTAATTTATGCCTTGAGGGGATATATCTTTTCATTTCTATGTCTTATTCATGTTTTTATGCAGATCATACAATAGGATGACATTAATGGTACAGGTACTTGGAGAATACTGTGATTTACTTAAACAGAACAACAACAACAACATTGAAAAGGAGAAAAACTGGAAAACATTTCAGGAAAGAAAAGGAGACCAACCAGTTTGTTTCCTCTTCTGTGACTTTTTGTGCCAGAGAAAGTTGCATCATTAAGACAATTTGACAGAACAAATATAGCCCAGTTTTATTAGGAGTAAACATAAGAGGTGTTGCGTGAGGTTTAGTGGTTTGGTTGCATGCTTGAAAATCCCTTCTCTTTGTCTTTTTATACTGAGATGAACAGACAACTTCCTGGTTCTTCTCTTGTGTTGTGGTAACTGGAGTTCAGATCCACTGTGTGTTCCAAAATAGACGGAAGAAGCGGATGAGAGGGGTGAGACAGGATAGGGAGGCTGCGTCCCAAATGGCACCCTATTCCCTATAAAGTGTCACATAGGGCCATGGTCAAAAGTAGTGCACTATGTAGGTAATAGGGTGCCATTTGGGACAAAGCCACAGTGTAGTGTAGGAAGATTTTGCTCAAGGAAAAAGTGAGTCCAGGAAAAGCAGTTGATTGTTAATTAGAGTCAAGGTGAGCCCAGGAGCCTAGTATTCACATGAAGACTAACACATACAGTACCAGTCAAAAGTTTGGACATACCTACTCATCCAAGGGTTTGTATGTATATTGTAGAATAGTAGTGAAGACATCAAAACTATGAAATAACACATATGGAATCATGTAGTAACCAAAACAGTGTTAAACAAATCAAAATATATTTTATATTTGAGATTCTTCAAAGTAGCCACCCTTTGCCTTGATGACAGGTTTGCACACTCTTGGCATTCTCTCAACCAGCTACACCTGGAATGCTTTTCCAACAGTCTTGAAGGAGTTCCCACATATGCTGAGCATTTGTTGGCTGCTTTTCCTTCACTCTGTGGTCCAACTCATCCCAAACCATCTCAATTGAGTTGAGGTCAGGTGATTATAGAGGCCAGGTCATCTGATGCAGCACTCCATCACGCTCTTTATTGGTCAAATAGCCCTTACACAGCCCGGAGGTGTGTTTTGGGTGATTGTCCTGTTGAAAAACAAATGATAGTCCCACTAAGCGTAAACCAGATGGAATGGCGTATCGCTGCAGAATGCTGTGGTAGCCATGCTGGTTAAGTGTGCCTTGAATTCTAAATAAATCACAGACAGTGTCACCAGCAAAGCACCCCCACACCATCAAACCTCCTCCTCCATGCTTCACGGTGGGAACCACACATGCGGAGATCATCCGTTCACCTACTCTGCATCTCACAAAGACACAGCGGTTGGAACCAAAAAAGGACAGATTTCCACCGGTCTAATGTCCATTGCTCGTGTTTCTTGGCCCAAGCAAGTCTCTTCTTCTTATTGGTGTCCTTTAGTAGTGGTTTCTTTGTAGCAATTCGACCATGAAGGGCTGATTCACGGTCTCCTCTGAACAGTTGATGTTGAGATGTGTCTGTTACTTGAACTCTGTGATGCATTTATTTGGGCTGCAATCTGAGGTGCAGTTAACTCTAATGAACTTATCCTCTGCAGCAGAGGTAACTCTGGGTCTTCCTACCTCATGAAGTGGCGGTCCTCATGAGAGCCAGTTCCATCATAGTTCTTGATGGTTTTTGCGACTGCGCTTTAAGAAAATGCCAAAGTTCTTGAAATGTTCCAGATTGACTGACCTTCATTTCTTAAAGTAATGATGGACTGTCGTTTCTCTTTGCTTATTTGAGCTGTTCTTGCCATAATATAGACTTGGTCTTTTACCAAATAGGGCTATCTTCTGTATACTCCCCCTACCTTGTCACAACACAACTGATTGGCTCAAATGCATTAAGAAGGAAAGAAATTCCACAAAATAACTTTAAACAAGGCACACCTGTTTAATTGAAATGCATTCTAGGTCACTACCTCATGAAGCTGGTTGAGAGAATGCCAAGAGTGTGCAAACCTGTCATCAAGGCAAAGGGTGGCTACTTTGAAGAAGTATAGTTTGATTTGCTTAACACTTTTTTGGTTACTACATGATTCCATATGTGTTATTTCATAGATTTGATGTCTTCACTATTATTCTACAATGTAGAAAATTGCACAAATAAAGAAAAACCCTTGGATTAGTTGGTGTGTCCAAACTTTTGACTGGTACTGTATTTCATATAACATTAATATATACACTGAGTGTACAAAACATTAGGAACACCTTCCTACTATTGAGATTCACCTCCCATCTTAGTTGATGTCCAGTGACTTACCTGCCCTGAAGTGGCAGATGTAGCCATGAACCAGGTCATATAACGCATTATAAACTGTGTAGTTAGAGCCCTGAGTGCTGATTGGATGAAAGCTGTGGTATATCAGACAATATGCCATGGGTATGAAGCAAAATTACTTTTTATAATAGCAACAAGGCACCTGGGGGGTTTGTGGTATATGGCCGATATACCACGGCTAAGGGCTGTATCCAGGCACTCCACGTTGCGTCGCGCTTAAGAACAGCTCTTAGCCGTGGTAGATTGGCCATATACCAAACCTCTTGCCTTATTGCTTCATTATAACAGCCTTGTAATGCATTACAACCATTATATAATGTTACCAATCTTAGTTAATGTACATGGGATTTTTCAGGATTGCTCATGTGTTTGAAAACACCATCATCAAACCCAATGAAACACTGAGTAAAGGAAGGCTCTCGAGTGGCGCAGCGGTCTAAGGCATTGCATCTCAGTGCTTGAGGCGTCTATACAGACCCCCTGATTCGATTTCAGGCTGTATCACAACCGGCCGTGATTGGGAGTCCCATAGGGCGGCGCACAATTGGCCCAGCGTCGTCCGGGTTTGGCCGGTGTAGGCCGTCATTGTAAATAAGGTACTGAGGTATTGTTCACATCCCTGCTGCACTTCCATGACCAGGTACTGAGGTACTGTTCACATCCCTGCTGCATTTCCATGACCAGGTACTGAGGTACTGTTCACTTCCATGACCAGGTACTGAGGTACTGTTCACATCCCTGCTGCACTTCCATGACCAGGTACTGAGGTACTGTTCACTTCCATGACCAGGTACTGAGGTACTGTTCACATCCCTGCTGCATTTCCATGACCAGGTACTGAGGTACTGTTCACTTCCATGACCAGGTACTGAGGTACTGTTCACTTCCATGACCAGGTACTGAGGTACTGTTCACTTCCATGACCAGGTACTGAGGTACTGTTCACTTCCATGACCAGGTACTGAGGTACTGTTCACTTCCATGACCAGGTACTGAGGTACTGTTCACTTCCATGACCAGGTACTGAGGTACTGTTCACTTCCATGACCAGGTACTGAGGTACTGTTCACTTCCCTGCTGCACTTCCATGACCAGGTACTGAGGTACTGTTCACTTCCTCCTGGTGTTTTGCTGGATTTCCCCCCTCTGTGGTTTAAACCATAGAAATATAATTCATTATATGTATATGGTCTGAACTGTATGTTGCTGTGGCAGGGATGAAATGTTGAAATCAGAGTTGTTGAAGTGAGGAACAGATCCAGTTTTTCCTCAACAAATTATCACAATTCTTTGATCTATTTGGAGCCATGCTCACAATCGGACTGACTTGAAGTAACAGTATCCGTGATGTTTGTATGGCTGTAACAAAGACTATCCAGATCATCTATGGAGACCTCTCTGATTGTTTTCAGGTGTCCTGAGTTATCATGAGTTGTTAGACAGACACTTCTGCTCTATCTCTGACATCCAGTCCGTGTCAAATATTCATTGAAGTTCAAAGCATCTGGGAGTCCTAACCAATAACCAACTTTTCATTTTCATCCCTAGGTCCACCTTGTGGCACATCTTGTGATCCCAACCCATGTAGGAACAGCGGAGAGTGTGAGGAGAGGTCCGAGAGCGCCGCTGGATATGCTTGTGCTTGTCTGGAGGGATTCACGGGCCTCCGCTGTGACACCCCCGTTAACATCAATTGCCTTTCATACGAATGTCAGCGGGAAAAGGCGTGCTCCTTGGGGAAACATGTGAGAACTCTATTTCTACGTCCCAAATATCACTCTAAATAGTGCACTACTAGAGGCCTAGTGGAAAGTATTGCCGTATAGAGGGAATAAGGTGTCATTTTGGATGCGTCCCATTCCTCCTTCTTCATTCTCTTCAGCCCTCCTCCTCCTCCTCCTCCTCTGAGGGCCTGATTAATAGGAAATGTCACATGCAAATTAATATCTTAGTCTTTGAAGCAGATGGAGTGTAATTTTGAAGGTTGGAACAACAACTAATATTTCTGCCTTCAATGGGGGTTAGCACGGCTCAGGGAAGGAGAGCGTGGTGGTGGTGGCGCTGGTTATTTTTGGTGGGCATTTTGATTAGACTGGAATTAACTATTGCATATTTTAAGTGGCAGATTGAAATTGCATTTACGAAAGGGGATCTTTTATTCTAGTTGGAGGCGTCTGTTGGCCGCAGTCCGTTTTCAATTTCAGGCCTTTTCTCTATGAAATGTTACAGTGATACAGGACAGGGGTTTTAATCATCAATTGCTGAGTGCCAATAGTTTCTCTATTATGCAAGAGGCGACGCGTGAGAGAAAAGTATATTAAAATGGGCTAATTGTCTTTTTGTGACCTTCACTTGTGACTTCATTATGGAATTTGCCACAGATTTTACAATAACTGATTATAATGGGTTTTTCAACCCACTTGAGAATATTCCATAAGGCATTATTAACCAGTCATAACACCTTAATGAGTGTTGCAGGATTACGCATGACAACCTTCATGACACATTCACAGTAATGGGAGCCCAGTGTTGATAGCATAGCAGCACTCCATATATCAACCTGATATGTTTGACATTGATTTTGTCTCAGTCTCATCTCTGTAAGGGACTGTAAATGAACTCATCTTTCAACCTGAGAGCCTTGGCGACTCGAAGCAACTGTTAATATTAGTATCTTCTCTGATTAAGCATCTTCGTTTTATCATCTCTGACTCTGAGTCAGATATATTATTATTGTCAAGATCATTCCTGATGAGATGTGATGAGAGCTGTAGTACGCTAGTCGAGCTAATGACCTAGCTGTCTCCATCTATTCTTAGTATCTCTATGATGGATTGATTTATTTGATTTAAGTGTCGTACACCAATTGGTGCTCAATGGGCTTTATAAGACACTTTCTTTACGTACGTGTTAACAAAATACAAAACTAAATTACATGTAACAAATGAAATGCATAGTTAGTAATCATCAGAAAGTACAGCTTTCACCTTATTTCTCCTTCTCTCCGTGTCACTGTAGCTGTCCTGCTTCACTCCCTAACGTTGTGCTGTTACAGTTCTTTACTCACTGTCTTGTTCTGCTAGGGAGAGGGATCTGGATCCACTAACACTGTCTTGTTCTGCTAGGGAGAGGGATCTGTCTCCACTAACACTGTCTTGTTCTGCTAGGGAGAGGGATCTGTCTCCACTAACACTGTCTTGTTCTGCTAGGGAGAGGGATCTGTCTCCACTAACACTGTCTTGTTCTGCTAGGGAGAGGGATCTGTCTCCACTAACACTGTCTTGTTCTGCTAGGGAGCGGGATCTGTCTCCACTAACACTGTCTTGTTCTGCTAGGGAGAGGGATCTGTCTCCACTAACACTGTCTTGTTCTGCTAGGGAGAGGGATCTGGATCCACTAACACTGTCTTGTTCTGCTAGGGAGAGGGATCTGTCTCCACTAACACTGTCTTGTTCTGCTAGGGAGAGGGATCTGTCTCCACTAACATTGTCTTGTTCTGCTAGGGAGCGGGATCTGTCTCCACTAACACTGTCTTGTTCTGCTAGGGAGAAGGATCTGGCTCCACTAACACTGTCTTGTTCTGCTAGGGAGAGGGATCTGGCTCCACTAACACTGTCTTGTTCTGCTAGGGAGAGGGATCTGTCTCCACTAACACTGTCTTGTTCTGCTAGGGAGAGGGATCTGTCTCCACTAACACTGTCTTGTTCTGCTAGGGAGAGGGATCTGTCTCCACTAACACTGTCTTGTTCTGCTAGGGAGCGGGATCTGTCTCCACTAACACTGTCTTGTTCTGCTAGGGAGAGGTATCTGTCTCCACTAACACTGTCTTGTTCTGCTAGGGAGAGGGATCTGGATCCACTAACACTGTCTTGTTCTGCTAGGGAGAGGGATCTGTCTCCACTAACACTGTCTTGTTCTGCTAGGGAGAGGGATCTGTCTCCATTAACACTGTCTTGTTCTGCTAGGGAGAGGGATATGTCTCCACTAACACTGTCTTGTTCTGCTAGGGAGAGGGATCTGGCTCCACTAACACTGTCTTGTTCTGCTAGGGAGAGGGATCTGTCTCCACTAACACTGTCTTGTTCTGCTAGGGAGAGGGATCTGGCTCCATTAACACTGTCTTGTTCTGCTAGGGAGAGGGATCTGTCTCCACTAACACTGTCTTGTTCTGCTAGGGAGAGGGATCTGGCTCCACTAACACTGTCTTACTCTGCTAGGGAGAGGGATCTGTCTCCATTAACACTGTCTTGTTCTGCTAGGGAGAGGGATCTGGATCCACTAACACTGTCTTGTTCTGCTAGGGAGAGGGATCTATCTCCACTAACACTGTCTTGTTCTGCTAGGGAGAGGGATCTGTCTCCACTAACACTGTCTTGTTCTGCTAGGGAGTGGGGTCTGTCTCCACTAACACTGTCTTGTTCTGCTAGGGAGAGGGATCTGTCTCCACTAACACTGTCTTGTTCTGCTAGGGAGAGGGATCTGTCTCCATTAACACTGTCTTGTTCTGCTAAGGAGCGTGACTGGCTCCATTAACACTGTATTGTTCTGTCTCCACTAACACTGTCTTGTTCTGCTAGGGAGAGGGATCTGTCTCCATGAACACTGTCTTGTTCTGCTAGGGAGATTGATCTGGCTCCATTAACACTGTCTTGTTCTGCTAGGGAGATTGATCTGGCTCTATTAATAATGTCTTGTTCTGCTAGGGAGAGTGATATGTCTCCATTAACACTGTCTTGTTCTGCTAGGGAAAGTGATCTGTCTCCGCTAACACTGTCTTTATCTCTAATCTAAGTGTGTTTTCTCAAGCTGACTTGAGGCCTGGTTTGTTTTCACCCTGTGTGTGCGTGTGCGTGCAAGCGTGTGTGTTTGTTTTAAATGTGTGTGTGCATGCCTAAGTGTGTGTGTGTGTGTGTGCAGACCTCTCCTGAGTGTGTAGCCTCCGTCTGGCAGTGTGTAGATGGAACCACAGGCCCACAGTGCAGGAGGCAGCGCAGCCCGTGCAGCCCTTCACCCTGCCACAACAACGGCAGCTGTTTAGTCCAGGGAGAGGACTACATCTGCAGGTGAGACACATGGCAGTATATTCAGGATGCAGGTGAGACACATGGCAGTATATTCAGGATGTAGGTGAGACACATGGCAGTATATTCAGGATGTAGGTGAGACACATGGCAGTATATTCAGGATGTAGGTGAGACACATGGCAGTATATTCAGGATGTAGGTGAGACACATGGCAGTATATTCAGGATGTAGGTGAGACATGGCAGTATATTCAGGATGTAGATGAGACACATGGCAGTATATTCAGGATGCAGGTGAGACACATGGCAGTATATTCAGGATGCAGGTGAGACACATGGCAGTATATTCAGGATGTAGATGAGACACATGGCAGTATATTCAGGATGTAGGTGAGACACATGGTAGTATATTCAGGATGTAGATGATCCAGTGACCTATGCGGTTCTGATGGCCCAGTGTGTTAGTTAGAGCATTGGGCCTAGCTAGCATGGGTCTTAATTAGCAACACCAGGGTTGGAGCATGGTGCTTAACTAGCAACACCAGGGTTAGAGCATGGTGCTTAGATAGCAACACCAGGGTTAGAGCATGGTGCTTAGATAGCAACACCAGGGTTAGAGCATGGTGCTTAACTAGCAACACCAGGGTTAGAGCATGGGGCCTAGCTAGCAACACCAGGGTTAGAGCATGGTGCTTAACTAGCAACACCAGGGTTAGAGCATGGTGCTTAATTAGCAACACCAGGGTTAGAGCATGGTGCTTAACTAGCAACACCAGGGTTAGAGCATGGTGCTTAATTAGCAACACCAGGGTTAGAGCATGGTGCTTAACTAGCAACACCAGGGTTAGAGCATGGTGCTTAATTAGCAACACCAGGGTTAGAGCATGGGGCTTAACTAGCAGCACCAGGGTTAGAGCATGGTGCTTAACTAGCAACAACAGGGTTAGAGCATGGTGCTTAACTAGCAACACCAGGGTTAGAGCATGGGGCCTAGCTAGCAACACCAGGGTTAGAGCATGGTGCTTAACTAGCAACACCAGGGTTAGAGCATGGATCTTAACTAGCAACACCAGGGTTAGAGCATGGTGCTTAACTAGCAACACCAGGGTTAGAGCATGGGGCCTAACTAGCAACACCAGGGTTAGAGCATGGTGCCTAACTAGCAACACCAGGGTTGGAGCATGGTGCCTAACTAGCAACACCAGGGTTGTGGGTTAGAGCATGGTGCTGGCAACGGGGCGGCTGGTAGCCTAGCGGTTAAGAGCGTTGGGTCGGTAACCGAAAAGTTGCCGGTTCGAATTCCCGAGTTGACTAGGAGACAAATCTGCTGATGTGCCCTTGAGCAAGTCACCTAACCCTAATTGCTCCCGTAAATCGTTCTGGATGAGAGCGTCTGCTAAGTGACTAAAATGTAAATGTAATGTGTTACTGTCAATGTCGTAGATAAAAGCGTCTGCTATAATGTTGCTACTATGTTCTTCTAATAAACTCAGGACAGGAAGCATCTTTCATAATAGCTAATTATTTTCCTTTATATACTTCAGATTAGGGCTGGGAATTGCCATGGACATCACGACACGATATTATCATAATACTTAGCTGATACGATATGTATTGCAATTCTCACGACTCTCACAATTCTATATGTATTGCGATTCAAATTTGATATTGCGATTTAATGTTCCAAACATATTGCTCACCATAGTTCTGCTGCAGAGGTAGAAGAGAGAGCATGGAGAATCGTTTTGATCAGTCATGAAAATAAAAGTGCTGAAAACATGTTGGCTCACTATTCAAAGCTGCGGTATGTCACTTTTTGGATGACCTGACCAAATTCACATAGATATGTGTGTTATAGATCTGTCATTCTCATTGAAAGCAAGTCTAAGAAGCGGCAGATCTGTTCTATATGCACTATTTCTATGCTTCTCGTTCTAAAGTTTTGTTTTTGCGTCTTTTATTTTCGGTTTTGTACACCAGCTTCAAACAGCTGAAAATACAATATTTTTGGTTATGGAAAATATATTTCACAGCGGTTTAGATGGTATAATGATTTTCTACACAATGACTGCTTGTTTTGTCACATAAACTGAAATTGGGGCGAACTATTCAAATTTTTGCAACCAGGAAATGGGCCAGCGATTTCTGCATATTGCACCTTTTAACAGTAAGACGGAGAACAAGCTATAGGTTGAAAAATACCCGATTTTGGGCACAGGTACAGCCAACTAGCACTACACTTGGAGTGAAATATCGATATAATATTGTCCAAAAATAAGAACACGATATGTAACTGTATCAATCCCCCCCCCCCCCCCCCCCCCCCCCCATCACTACCTCAGGTCTGTGTGTTGATATTAGTTGGTTATTTACCTTACTACAAAGAAGGTCTTTTGAACTGCTCTCTGGTGATCATGACAAGAGTGACGGCCACGCATAATACTTTATAGGTACTCACCATTTAGGATGGGTGATTTTCAGACCCTGTTCTAGAGCTATTGCTTCAGCTGTCTCAGGCAGTATTTCTCAGTGGATACGAAGGGTAAAGTTCAGCCCAGTCAATACATTCACGTCTTCTCTTCTCTGAGTCAGTAGCAGTTGGAAAAAAGAGATAGAAAAAGAGGTGGAAAAGTTAAATCGGAACACATTTCAACATTTAATTCAACATTTATTATTATTATTATTTGTGAAGGGGACATGTCTGTTGTTGGTTAGGGATAGTGTAGAGAAGGGGACATGTCTGTCTGTGGTAGGATTGTAGAGAAGGGGACTGTCGTCTGTGGGTAGGATAGTGTAGAGAAGGGACTGTCGTTGTTGGTAGAGGATAGTGTAAGAGGACATGTCGCGTGGTAAGGATGTGTAAGAAGGACTGTCGTGTTGGTAGAGGATAGTGTAGAAGGGGACATGTCTGTCTGTTGGTAGAGTAGTGTAGAGAAGGACATGTCTGTCTGTTGGGTAGAGGATAGTGTAGAAAGGGACATGTCTGTCTTTGGTAGAGGATAGTGTAGAGAAGGGGACATGTCGTCTGTTGGGTAGAGGATAGTGTAGAGAAGGGACATGTCTGTCTGTTGGGTAGAGGATATGTAGAGAAGGGGACATGTCTGTCTGTTGGGTAGAGGATAGTGTAGAGAAGGGGACATGTCTGTCTGTTGGGTAGAGGATAGTGTAGAGAAGGGGACATGTCCGTCTGTTGGGTAGAGGATAGTGTAGAGAAGGGGACATGTCTGTCTGTTGGGTAGAGGATAGTGTAGAGAAGGGGACATGTCTGTCTGTTGGGTAGAGGATAGTGTAGAGAAGGGGACATGTCTGTCTGTTGGGTAGAGGATAGTGTAGAGAAGGGGACATGTCTGTCTGTTGGGTAGAGGATAGTGTAGAGAAGGGGACATGTCTGTCTGTGGGTAGAGGATAGTGTAGAGAAGGGGACATGTCTGTCTGTTGGATAGAGGATAGTGTAGAGAAGGGACATGTCTGTCTGTTGGGTAGAGGATAGTGTAGAAGGGGACATGTCTGTCTGTTGGGTAGAGGATAGGTAGAGAAAGATGTAGGCTACACAATATCCCTGTATGTCTGGGAGAAGTGGAATATAGAGGAATGTGTGTGTAGAATGTTTGTAGTTAAAATGTACTGTATTCAACCTTTTGGTATGGCAGACTAATAGTTGGTAGAAATGAGAGTACATCACATAATAAGTTGCATGGACATTGAATATCTCTTTGAGTATGGTGCAGTTATTAATGTTACACTTTGGATGGTGTATCAATACACCCAGTCACAACAAAGATAACACCCTTCCTTAATCAGTTGCCGGAGAGGAAGGAAACCGCTGAGGGATTTCACCATGAGGCCAATGGTGATTTTAAAACAGTTACAGAGTTTAATGGGTGTGATAGGACATAACTGAGGATGGATCAACAACATTGTAGTTACTCCACAATACTAACCTAAATGACAGAGTGAAAAGAAGGAAGCCTCTACAGAATACAAATATTCCCGAAACATGTAATACTGCAAAAAATGTGGCAAAGAAATTCACTTTTTGTTCTAAATACAAAGCGTTATGTTTGGGACAAATCCAACACAACACATCACTGAGTACCACTTAATATTTTCAAGAATGGTGGTGGCTGCATCAACTTATGGGTATGCTTACACATGTTATGCTATAGCCTACCCTGATAAAGGATGTTATGCTATAGCCTACCCTGATAAAGGATGTTATAGCTTACACATGTTATGCTATATCCTACCCTGATAAAGGCTCTTTGGCAGAAATGTTGGTCAAATAAATTCACAGCAAGGAGAGATGAGTGTGTGACTTTGTTTTTCAGCTCTACCACACCATGATTATCTTGTCTGCATCTCCACCTCTCTCCTTATTATCAGTGGTCTGGTCTGCATATCATACCAGGTGTTATTGATATTGATACCTCTGACAGCCAGTTGCTCTCCTCCTCTCCTCTGCAGGTGCCTGCCAGGGTTTTCCGGGAAGAGCTGTGAAGAGATAATAGACTACTGCAGTCTGCTCAGTGTCAACTGTCTGCACCAGGGACTGTGCCTCAGCGTAATTGGTGGATATAATGTAAGTCAGCCATTAGGTGAGGTCTAATGAAATGTGGAAACAGCAAAGAAAAGGTTTGATATGATGACCCATAGTTTATTAGTGGGCTGGTTGGACAGGGGACCCATAGTTTATTAGTGGGCTGGTTGGACAGGGGACCCATAGTTTATTAGTGGGCTGGTTGGACAGGGGACCCATAGTTTATTAGTGGGCTGGTTGACAGGGGACCCATAGTTTATTAGTGGTTGGACAGGGGACCCATAGTTTATTAGTGGGCTGGTTGGACAGGGGACCCATAGTTTTTTGAGTGGGCTGGTTGGACAGGGTACCCATAGTTTATTAGTGGGCTGGTTGAACAGGGTACCCATAGTTTATTAGTGGGATGGTTGGACAGGGTACCCATAGTTTATTAGTGGGCTGGTTGGACAGGGGACCCATAGTTTATTAGTGGGCTGGTTGGACAGGGGACCCATAGTTTATTAGTGGGCTGGTTGGACAGGGGACCCATAGTTTATTAGTGGCTGGTTGACAGGGACCATAGTTTATTAGTGGCTGGTGACAGGGGACCCATAGTTTATTAGTGGGCTGGTTGGACAGGGTACCCATAGTTTATTAGTGGGCTGGTTGGACAGGGGACCCTAGTTTATAGTGGGCTGGTTGACGGCCCTCTTTTTGAGTGGGCTGGTTGGACAGGTACCCATGTTTATTAGGGCTGGTTTGAACAGGTACCCATAGTTTATCAGTGGGATGGTTGGACGGGTACCCATAGTTTATTAGTGGGCTGGTTGGAACAGGGACCCATACGTTTATAGTGGCTGGTTGACTGGGACCCTAGTTTTTATGGGCTGTTGACAGGACCCATAGTTATAGTGGGCTGGTTGGACAGGTGACCTAGTTTAGTTAGTGGCTGGTTGGACAGGGGACCTAGTTTATTGTGGGCTGGTTGGACAGGGGACCATAGTTTATTATGGGCTGTGGACAGGGACCCATAGTTATTAGTGGGCATGGTGACAGGGGACCCATAGTATTAGTGGCTGGTGGACAGGTACCATAGTTATAGTGGGCTACTTGGACAGGGGAGTGTATATATGAGAAGGTCCTGCCCTCTACACATCAGAGAAACCAAACCATGGTGCTATTAGGAATGTTTTAGAATACAGTACAGTAACCAGTAGTGTATAGACCTGTCTGCGTTCCAAATGGCACCCTATACCCTGTATAGTGCACTACTTTTGTCCCTTTTGGCCTCCTCCTCTCCACCCCATGTTCAAAAGAAGTAGCATGTTTTGTGTACTGATTTAGTATGTCTAGTATAGGGACACCTTGTACTTTGCTTCAGGTTAGTGCACATTTGGGAGATCTTTTTTTCATAACACGGACAACCGATGAAAACCACTATGGCATGACAATGTCAGGTAATAAAACAACAGGCCACTGGTAGCCGTTAAAGGGATAGTGCCAGATTTTGGCAATGAAGCCTTCTTTCTACTTACCCAGAGTCAGGTGAACTTGTGGATTCCATTTTTCTGTCTCTGCGTGCAGTTTAAAGGAAGTTGGAGGTAGTTTTGCGAGCCGTTTCCAGTCACTGCGCTAACATTAGTTAGCAATGGCTCGTAAAACAACCTCAAACTTCCTTCATGGCCAATATCACGCACTATCACTTTAATACTCATCTATTTATTTATTTATTACATATTTAGAAGCTATCAGTTTCTCATTTTTCATATATACTTTGTTTTCTTGCCTCTTTCAATATCGTCTTGCTGTCACATTCAATTTCAGCTGAACACTTTGAATAATGTGCCATGCAGAACATTTTATCCACTTGTTTATAAGAATATTTACATTTGATAGTAGATAGTTATGTATTGATCATTTAATGTCAATATCTGTTTATTTAATGTATTATAGTGTGAAGCTGTAGATATGGTGATACAATTTTTCTATCACCTTCACAAAATATTGTATCTATTTATATTTTATCATATCATCAACGCAAACTTGTCAATGTGGGGGTTTTAAAATAATTTCCATTTAAATTTCCAAAACAAAAATAACATGATTACAGGTTTCAATGGGTGGTGATTAGGGGTTATCCATGAACATGAATATTGTTTATCATAGGTATTAAAGTATATCTATGCATCCCACTTCCTAAATGTACAGACATCTGTCTCTGAGTCTATCCCATGGATTATACTTTAGTCTCATTTAAAATAAAGGACATTCAATAAAATCTGGTGTGTCTAACGCTGTCATGATATAGAATATTTAGCATTTATTCAGTCTGACTACATACATTGCTAATACATTACCATTTTGTTTGCAGAACATTTTAAATAAAAATAAAACATTGAGAAAATGAGAATATCATGCAAATGAGAGACCCGTTGGTTAAAATTGGATTCTATGTCGTCTTCTAAAGCCATAAAGCTATTTCACAACCATAAAATACCCAAATTGTGGCCACTTCATCATAATCCTCCAGTCGAAGGCACCTGAAACCAGACTGTAATGCCCATGGTCCTTAGCTCCTAATTATCCCCCATCAGTCCTGGTCTGTTGCTTTAGATCATTCAGTAGGCTCTGGGGCTGCATCCCAAATGGCACCCTATTCCCTATCCCTACATTGCCTATGTCGTGCATAGGGCTCTGGTCAAAGATAGTGCACTATGTAGGGAATAGGGTGCCATTTACTTCTGACTCTTAGCTGCAGGACTGTTAAAAGCTGCCTGTGTTGCTGTGTGTGGCTTTCTCTTGCTCCAATCAGTGTCGGTCATAATCAGAACATTGACGCTAGTCTGGCGTAATGAGCCGTCTCCTTAGCGATTTCTTGATCTGCTTCCCCCTGGGGAAAATGATGAGGTCGTTTGTCAGGTCAATTTGGGCTGTTGTCCATTTGCCGCGCTGACTGTGTCCTGAAGTCTTTACGCAGTGTAGACTGAAGAGGTACTGACACTCACGTCGTAGAACCAAATTAAACCTTAGAATTAGTAAGAACAGAGAATACCGTACGGTACCCATCAGCACTTGGATCTGCTGATAAGTGAAACTTTAGTTAAATTAGTGTTGAGATGCACAATATGAACTGATCAACTCACTGCCAGTGGAGGTTTCCCTGGTATGGATCTCATCAGGAAGTTGCTTTCTTAGTGTAGAGGCATAGAGCTCGCCAGTTTAGTCTTAAAAAATGGAAATGAAACCTCTGGTTCCTATGAGGGAAATGAAACCTCTGGTTCCTATGGGGGAAATGAAACCGCTGGTTCCTATGGGGGAAATGAAACCTCTGGTTCCTATGGGGGAAATGAAACCTCTGGTTCCTATGGGGGAAATGAAACCTCTGGTTCCTATGGGGGAAATGAATGAGGAAAGAATGGCGTTTTGGGATAAATGTCAAAAATAAGGTCTGAGGTGAACACAGGCTTTTTTGTTCTATGAGATAATATCAGTCAGTTAACATGACCTTCATGGACTATGAAGCCTTTATGTGCTTATTTCGATTACATAAATACTTAAAAGTTCCACAAAAAGGTACGTTAGCTGATGAAGATTATTTAATAGAACAAAACGTATAGGATCTCCTAAGCCTGTGTTTACCACAGACCTTATTTTCAGCGTTTATCCAAAACCCCTCCAAAAACCCCATTAATTTCCCCATAGGGTTAGCGTCCACCAGTGCCTACAAAAATATGCCAATACTATTTCTGTCTATTGCTAACCTACATGACAGAATGTTGTGTAGAATGTACATTACTCCAAAAAACGAATTCAAACCTTTAGAATTGGCGAGAAGATGCGCGATGCATACCACTGCCAATGTAGTGGGAGTATACAGGATGCAGTCCAATAACAGACCAGGTTAGTATAGATGTACAAGACCAGATTGGTGATTGTGTTTGTCTGCAGATCAATGATTACTGGTTCATCTCTTCCTCACAGTGTCTCTGTGCTCCTGGATGGATAGGGGAGTTCTGTCAGTATGGAGGGAACGCCTGCCTGATCTACCCAGACAGCTGTATGAATGGAGCCACCTGCATCACCACAAGTCAACCTACGGCTGCCCCACAGTACAGATGTATCTGCAGCCCTGGTTACACAGGTAAGGGTCACTACACTACCATCTAGGTTGGAGTACTACTGCATTAGTATACACGTTTGGTTGTTTTCACTGCAACTTCCTTAGTAGGTTGAGAAATACAAATTATACACTTCAGAGTTTTGTGAAAAAGTGATTTTACTGTAGTGTTTGTTTTGGGAAATCCCTTGGTAGTGTAAAAATATGCGCTATTTTCAGAGTATGGATCACTACATATAACTTCAAATATTATGTTTTTTTTGCAGTTTTAGAGAAACGTTTGTACATTCCCGTTATAACGCGTGTCATTCCCGTTATAACGCGTGTCATTCCCGTTATAACGCGTGTCACTCCCGTTACTCATATTTTCACAATGCCTCCCCAAGTGGATGATACCATAATTTGGGTCATCTTGATGGAGATTGCAGGACATTTCTTCAGTGAACATGCTGCCAAGGGAAGCAACAAGATATAGACTTGTACATCCATGCTATAAGCAGCAGCTATTGGAGGAATTTAACCACTTCTATCCACCATAAAGGAACAAAATGAACAAATATAGGTTCTCTTGTATATGACAAAATTGAGAAAGATACTTTTTTAAACTATTTTTAAGTCCAAAAGTGTAATCTTTGGGTTCGACCAAAAAAGTAATTAACTTTACAGAAATATTTCTATACAATTTTAGACTCATGTCATTTGATAGTTAGACGCTCCTTGTTTATTCTAAATGTGTCCAAAAATCTGGATGCCATGAAAAGTCATTTATCAATTTGTTTTATTATCTACTATTAATGTCTGGGCCCATTAACCAAATACCAAATATTTTAGACTCTGTTGAAAATAGTTTTTTTTCGAGGACCACTAGTAAACAAGTCTTTAGATTATTACTTTCATATGTTTTCCTCTGGAAAAAAAAGTGGTTCTCTTCATTTCACGTCTTCAGTCTTCGCTCCCTCTCAATCCTGTCAGCAGAACCTCAGTCCCCATCTTAGCTGACACACTCACACCTGTCACTCCGATAAGTCCTTACATAGCATTACATGAGCTAGGGCTTTTTTGTGCTGCGCCAGGCTCAAATATCTGTTGCCACTTCGCTGATGGAAAATCGTCTCACAATGTGGCAGCACCTCAGTGGCTGATGGAACCCATCACCATCCTTGCCAAATGACACCCTATTCCCTATTTAGTGAACTACTTTTGACCAGGGCTCATAGGGCTCCTCCTGGTCATAAGTACTGCGCTATGTAGGGAAAAGGGTTCCATTTGGGACACGGCCCCAGGCATCCAGGGATCCTTTTTCGATGTGGAATTATGAAGCGTTCATGCGGGCGGACTTTCAGAAGGCCTGTTTAATTTCAGAACCCGTCTCGAAGCCCCTCAGGACCAGACTGTCTGGAGTAGATCAAACATTTCTGAGTGCATTGCTCAAGCCCCTGATATTTACGTTTTTATTCAGACAAGAAAAATATGAATTTGCGGCCGATGGCATAAGCATTTATGAATTGCTCATGTACTGCACATATACAGTGTATTCTGAAAGTATTCAGACCCCTTCCCTTTTTCCACATTTTGTTACGTTACAGCCTTACTCTAAAATTGATTAAATACTTTTTTTCCCTCCTCAATCTACATACAATACCCCATAATAACAAAGCGAAAACAGGTTTTTCGAAATTTTTGCTCATTTATAAAACATTTTAAAAAACAGATACCTTATTTACATAAGTATTCCGACCCTTTGCTATGAGACTTGAAATTGAGCTTCTGTTTCCATTGATCATCCTTAAGATGTTTCTACAACTTGATTGGAGTCCACCTGTGGTAAATTCAATTGATTGGACATGATTTGGAAAGACACACACCTGTCTATATAAGGTCCCACAGTTGACAGTGCATGTCAGAGCAAAAACCAAGCCATGAGGTCGAAGGAATTGTCCGTAGAGCTCCGAGACAGGATTGTGTCGAGGCACGGATCTGGGGAAGGGTACAAAAAAAATTCTGCAGCATTGAAGGTCCCCAAAAACTCAGTGGCCTCCATCATTCTTAAATGGAACCACCAATTCTCTGCCTAGAGCTGGCTGCCTGGCCAAAATGAGCAATCAGGGGAGAAGGGCCTTGGTCAGGGAGGTGACCAAGAACCTGATAGTCACTCTGACAGAGCTCCAGAGTTCCTCTGTGGAATGGGAGAACCTTCCAGAAGGACAACCATCTCTGCAGCACTCCACCAATCAGGTCTTTATGGTAGAGTGGCCAGACGGAAGCCACTCCTCAGTAACATGACAGCCCGCTTGGAGTTTGCCAAAAGGCACCTAATGGACTCTCAGACCACGAGAAACAAGATTCTCTGGTCTGATGAAACCAAGATTTAACTCTATGGCCTGAATGCCAAGCGTCACGTCTGGAGGAAACCTGGCACCATCCCTACGGTGAAGTATGGTGGTGGCAGCATCATGCTGTGGGGACGTTTTTCATTTTCAGGGACTGGGAGACTAGTCAGGATCGAGGGAAAGATGAACGGAGCAAAGTACAGAGAGGTCCTTGATGAAAACCTGCTCCAGAGCACTCAGGACCTCAGACTGGTGGCGAAGGTTCACCTTCCAACAGGACAATGACCCTAAGCACACAGCCAAGACAACACAGGAGTGGTTTTGGAACAAGTCTCTGAATGTCCTTGAGTGTCCCAGCCAGAGCCCGGACCCGATCGAACATCTCTGGAGAGACCTGAAAAATAGCTGTGCAGCGACGCTCCCTATCCAACCTGACAGAGCTTGAGAGGATCTGCAGAGAAGAATGGGAGAAACTCCTCAAATATAGGTGTGTCAAGCTTGTAGCGTCATACCCAAGAAGACTTGAGGCTGTAATCACTCCCAAAGGTGCTTCAACAAAGTACTGATTAAAGGGTCTGAATACTTATGTAATGTGATAACGTTTTTTTTTATATATATACATTTGCAAAAATTTCGAAAAACCTGTTTTTGCTTTGTCATTATGGGGTATTCTGTGTAGATTGATGAGGGAAAAAAACTATTTAATTAATTTTAGAATAAGGCTGTAATGTAACAAAATGTGGAAAAAGTCAAGGGGTCTGAATACTTTCCGAATGCACTGAATTGGTTATGAATGGGTTATGAATGTGTCATGAAGTCCTTATGGAAACTGTACAGACATTGGAGGCATTTTCACCTTGCATGGCTTTATAGTTTCTTCCCCCAGACAAGGGTTTATTTTCTTCTTCCAGGCAGGCAGACAAGGTGCTGTCCAAAAGGCCATCACAAAATGCCAAGCACCCGATTGTAATCTGCCAAAAAATGTCCAGTGACATGCTGAAGAGACACTATGAATTCCATGAGCGAGACAAAGTTCAAACTTTAGAAGGGCAGATTCTTCGGAGATAGGGCATGTGTCTGAAATGGCACCCTATTCCCTATAGAGTGCGCTACTTTTGATCAGAGCCCTATGGGTCCTGGTCCAAAAGTAGTACACTACGAAGGGAATATGATGCCATTTGGGACGTAGACCATGCCTTTTGTTGTCCGTATCTTTCCCCTGCCTTTGCTATATCTCCTATCAGAGTCCCCTAATTGAAATCACACAGCTATTGAAAAGCCAAGGAGTCCCAGAACACCAGTAATTCAGTCTTGTGGATTTAAAAAAGCTAATCTCCGCTCCATATCCTGTCTCTTTTTATATGGCCCTTGAAACAACAGACTGTCTGAGGAACTGCTGCGTTCTTCTCTAAGTGGAAGCAATCATAGTTTGAAATCAAGTAGCAGGAGAATATTAGGGTTAATTGCTTTATTAAGTTAAAACATCTAATAGGGATTCCAAGGAGGATTTCAAAGAGAAGATAGGTACATTTTAGGATGGCTAAAGGAGGTTTTATAGTATATGCATTTTAGGATGACTAAAGAAGGTTTTAAAATGTATACATTTAAATGGATTAAATATCATGTTTCTCGCTCTCTGCTCACAATATGCAGTAGATGGTTGTACCACTGCTTCAATCACTGAACCAACGTTGTTGTGGTTGTCAGTGTTCTATACAGTGAGGGGAAAAAAGTATTTGATCCCCTGCTGATTTTGTACGTTTGCCCACTGACAAAGACATGATCAGTCTATCATTTTAATGGTAGGTTTATTTGAACAGTGAGAGACAGAATAACAACAAAAAAATCCAGAAAAAACGCATGTCAAAAATGTTATAAATTGATTTGCATTTTAATGAGGGAAATAAGTATTTGACCCCTCTGCAAAACATGACTTAGTACTTGGTGGGCAAAAACCCTTGTTGCAATCACAGAGGTCAGACGTTTCTTGTAGTCGCCACCAGGTTTTGCACACATCTAAGGAGGGATTTTGTCCCACTCCTCTTTGCAGATCTTCTCCAAGTCATTAAGGTTTCGAGGCTGACGTTTTGGCAACTCGAATCTTCACTCCCTCCACAGATTTTTCTATGGGGGATTAAGGTCTGGAGACTGGCTAGGCCACTCCAGGACCTTAATGTGCTTCTTCTTGACCCACTCCTTTGTTGCCTTGGCCGTGTGTTTTGGGTCATTGTCATGCTGGAATACCCATCCACGACCCATTTTCAATGCCCTGGCTGAGGGAACAATGTTCTCACCCAAGATTTGACGGTACATGGCCCCGTCCATCGTCCTTTGATGCCGTGAAGTTGTCCTGTCCCCTTAGCAGAAAAACACCCCCAAAGCATAATGTTTCCACCTCATCTTTGACGGTGGGGGATGGTGTTCTGGGTCATAGGCAGCATTCCTCCTCCAAACACGGCGAGTTGAGTTTATGCCAAAGAGCTCCATTTTGGTCTCATCTGACCACAACACTTTCACCCAGTTCTCCTCTGAATCATTCAGATGTTCATTGGTAAACTTCAGATGGGCATGTATATGTGCTTTCTTGAGCAGGGGGACCTTGCGGGCGCTGCAGGATTTCAGTCCTTCACGGCGTAGTGTGTTACCAATTGTTTTCTTGGTGACTATGGTCCCAGCTGCCTTGAGATCATTGA